TTACCAGCCAACACAGACAAGTATATCTGAACAGGTGAAGATAGATAGATAGATAGCAACAGACAGACAGAGATAGATAGGTAGATAGATAGGAACAGACTGCAATAAATAAAAAGAGACTGATAGATAGATAGATAGATAGATAGATAGATAGATAGATAGATAGATAAGAACAAATTGAAATAGATAAGAACTGACTGAAATATATATATATATATATATATATATATATATATATATATATATATAGATAGATAGATAGATAGATAGATAGATAGATAGATAGATAAGAACAGACTGAAATAGATAAAAACAGACTGAAATAGATAAATAGATAGATAGGTAGATAAGAACAGACTGAAATACATACATACATATATATATATATATATATATATATATATATATATATAGATAGATAGATAGATAGATAGATAGATAGATAGATATGAACAGACTGAAATAGATAGATAGATAGATAGATAGATAGATAGATAGATAGATAGATAAGAACAGACTAAAACAGATAGATTGATTGATATGAACAGACTGAAATAGATAGATAGATAGATAGATAGATAGATAGATATGCACAGAGTGAGATAGATAGATAGATAGATAGATAGATAGATAGATAGATAGATAGATAGATAGATATGAACAGACCGAAATAGATAGATAGATAGGTAGATAAGAACAGACTGAAATACACACACACACACACACACACACACACACATATATATATATATATATATATATATATATATATATATATATATATATATATATATAAGAACAGACTGAACTAGATAGATATGAACAGACTAAAACAGGTAGATAGATAGATTGATTGATTGATTGATTGATTGATTGATTGATATGGACAGACTGAAAAATAGATAGATAGATAGATAGATAGATAGATAGATAGATAGATGAACAGATAGATAGATAGATAGAGATGAATAGAAATAGATAGATAGATAGATAGATAGATATGAACAGACTGAAATAGATAGATAGATAGATAGATAGATAGATAGATAGATAGATAGATAGATAGATAGATATGAACAGACTGAAATAGATAGATAGATAGATAGATAGATAGATAGATAGATAGATAGATAGATAGATAGATAGATAGAACTGAATATAAATGACAGTTGTTAAAGTGATAAACGGTGACTGACTTAGTAACAGGAAATACAATGTATTGCTACAAAAATGAATCCAAAAGCAACGTAGCTGTCCATTGAAAATGAAAATTTACACGAACAGAAATCCAAATAACCAACAGGAAGAGTCAAAAGCAAAACAAACCAAAAAGTAAGACCCTCAGTGCACACGCATGCGCGTGAGAGAGAGAAAGAGAGAATTGACACCCGTTTGGCATTTTCATCAAGAATTCCTTGTCATCCTCGTTACCCGACATTCAGTTTAATTGAGCACCTCGCCACCCTGCTAAATAATAAAGGTGGTCGAAAAAACGAGGCCCGCCGTGGGGTGACACAGTATCAACATCTGCCCTTCCTTGTTTTGCTTTGTTTTGTTTTTTTCCTTTTTTATGCCCTCCCTCGTGTTTATTACGCTTATTTTATTTTATTGTTATTTCCATTGAAGCTATGCAACCCAGTCATGACTTATTGTCTGCCATCAGAATCTGGGTAACCCAGTGCAAGTCGGTAGTTATTCGATGTGTTTAGTGGTAGCAAACGAGTGTGAGAACAAATCCCCAGGTGACCAGACCATCGACAACGTCATGATTTTCATGGGACCACCTAACATGGTGTATTTTATAGTAAAACAAAACCCACCTGCACTTGTCCCTAGTTTTTAGAGTATTTTCATTATTCCTTATAGTAACCATTGTTCATGTTTTTAGAATAACGTTTCCATTGGTACGTTCTTTAGTCTTTCCTTCAATTACAGACATTAAGTCCTTTTTAGAAATGCATGCTGGGAAATGAACAACAAAATTGAAAACATTCTACATAACGTTTTTCGTACACTATTTACATTATTCGAATTATTGTCCTCATCTTTGTTGCCATATTTATCACAATGTTTCGGCCGTTGTACGCTCCGGCCTTCTTCAGGATGTTGGAATATTGAACGGAACCCATTATTTCGTTCGCTGGGGTAGACTGTTCTATAAGTTTATACGTCCCAGAAATTCGTACACAGATGTCCTTAAGAATACAAGGCACAGTGGATAAAGGCGTTGGTTAGATCCAGTGACAGGACCCACAGAGTTGTGAGTTCAATACCTCGTTAAGGAAGTGGAGAACTTAGAGAGGGGAATTAACAGGAGATATCTGATAACTGACATCCATTAGACATAGCAGGTGAAACTGGAACAGTCTACCACAGCTCGCGAAATAAAGGCCTCAGTTTGACATTCCAACCACCTGAAGAAGGCCGGAGTGTATAACGGCCGAAACGTTGGGATAAATATGGCAACAAAGATGAAGACAATAGTCTGAATAATGTAAATAGGGTACATAATACCTCATCTAAGAAATATAGACAGAAGTGTTTTTCGTCTTTCATTAGATTAGGTATTTACTCTGTCTCCCCACAAAGACAAGTTGTGACACAAGGTCTTTTTTATGGTGGGGACCCGAGCGCGTACACCCGGGCTAGGAACAAAAGTTTCCCGCAGCTCCCGCAACAGTCGGTTGCGCTGGCCTCGGTGCGAGCACCGATCACTCTGTCTGGTGTAATGAGAGGGCGCAGCTTCGGCAGCTGTTCCCCAGAGCTGGGCACCTCTCAGTATAATTTTCTTCATTTGCGACTCTGTCCTTTGACGGAGCATCCCCTGTGTGCACTCTGCCCCAAAGACAGAGACGCAACTGAGAGATTATAAATAATGTGTTACAAACCCCTCAAGAGAGGGGTTTACACACATTCATTAGACTAATATAATGTTCTTGTTGACAGAATTTCTTTTTACTATTTTTCACTCAATACAAGGCCCAAGAGCCACTTCAGGTAGAGCGTTATTAAGTGGGGTTATTATAAAGGAGTACAGTGGATAAAACAAAATTGCATACTATGAAGATATATAGGATATGATGCGGGTGACCATAGAACTGAAGAGGTTATTTTACAATAATGTTCATCCTGTGCAAGGCCCAAGAGTCACTCTAAGTATACGGTTACAGAGTAAGGGTTGTGGTTTATGGGTATACTAGCAGGCTTCGTCCGCTCTATATGTCTTTGCAAATATATATTAACTTTTAAATGAGCATTTCATTCATAAATTGGCTTGTTATAGTTAAGAAAAGTTTTACAAATAGATACCAAGTTGTTGAATGCCAAGTAAAATGCAAATTTCAAGCACTTTTCTGCACTATATAAGACGATATTCCTAAACAGAACTTTTTTGATATGAAAATCAAAACAATCCTCGAATAAAAGAACAGTAATGAAGGACAGTTAATTAATGAATTAAATTTTTTAAAAATCAATATGCAAATTAGCTAAACCTGAAGAGTGATATTCTCTCGACTTAGATAATATATAATTCAGATATTCAGCTTTTAATGTGTAAATTGCTATAAAGTATAGATTATACTTTTTTAAACTCAGAATTCGTGGGAGAATTGCGCTCCAAGATTTCGCATTTATTCATATAGATTCCATAATATAGTTTTTACTTAATTAGCTTTTATGTTTCTCTAACTCTTCAAATGTTGAATGTATAACTAATTCTAATTTCTATTTTCCCATCTTTATACTATATTAATTTTATCTTATAAATATTCCCCCTGTCCTGTCACCCATGAAATAAAAATAATTGTTTGAACGGAAAATAAGGATCTACGTACATGAAATTGTTTTTAAATTAAGTGGCAGCAGAAGAATTATCATTGAACTTTTAAAAGGTAAGCTTAAACATTAATTCAATACTTAAATGCAACAATCAATTTTGAGTTCTTCTGTATTTTATTGATCCCTATCGCATCTACTCCTCCCTAGCTATTGTGATGATGGCCAAACCAAGAATCCTGCACAGGAGCAAGCTTAAATGCCGCCCGATAAGGCGGCTTTTAAGCTTGTTTATAATAAAAAGTGCACTGCAATTTAGGATAAGAAAGGAAAATAAGAGTTACTCCACTTGAACCATGAAAGCAACGATAATGGCTTGTATAATATATTAATATATATTTTTAACCTTGCATAATCTGGCAACCATGAATCTGAGCTCAACGAAAATCGTTCACTGTGCCTAACTTTTCTAGGGATTTTGAATGAGCTATGAATCATTGAAATTAGAGATGTTGCTTGGACACACAGGCACAAACACACACATAGACTGTACCCTATATATAAGATATAGGGAAGACAACGGTTAACCCTAGGTTTGAAAAGGTTAAAATTGTAGTGACGGGGAAGCATCTTCTTGGAAGTCGATTCCACAAAGCATCGGTTCGTGGAAAGAAGTTGTTCGAGCGGAACTTACATCTCACCAAGGGAATTCGAAGGGAATATACGTGCTATGGTGGGTCTTAGCCGGGAAGGTTAAATCCGGTGGAACTAAGGAAAGCATTTCGTTTAAACAATTTCCATGGAAGCCTCTTGCTGCTATATCGCTATGACAGAGTAGCGAGAGGCTTGCAACATTTTGTCTGTGGGGAAAGGGCTTGCAGAGTGGATGGTTAAGATTATACTGATCGGGGAAGGATAGACTCTGTAATCTATTCTACAAATTATCGGTTCTCGACAGTGGAAAGATTAAATTGAATCTGTTGCTTGGTCGACTGCTGTTATATACCGTACCTATGAACATTAATGAGTATGTCTCAATACTCATAAATACGTTGGACACTATTGTAAGTGGGGGTAATATACTGTTTAAGTAGTCCACCACTAGCAATGGTTTACCTACTTCACGTTGCTGATAAGTATTGTATTTTGTTGATGTTATAAAGATTACCATTTCATTTCCAACCTCCATTTTAGTTATTCCTCATTCAGTAACCCTTTCTAGGTTACAATAGATACGCACATAAAATAAGCTTCGGTATAAAAGTCAGTATAAAACTGCCTGCGTACGGATAGAAAATGAATTGAGTAAGGACCCTGTTATATACTGTGTCTATGAACACTAATGAGTATGTCCCAATCCTCATAAATACGTTGGACACTATTGTAAGTGGGGGTAATATGCTGTCTCAGTAGTCCAACTAGCAGTGGTTTACCTACCTCACGCTGCTGGCGAGTATTGTATTTTGTTGATATCATAAAGATTACCGTTTCATTTCCAACATCCATTTTGGTTATTCCTTATTCAGTAACCTTTTCTAGGTTACAATAGCTGCTAAGAAAAATATTTCACTGTGTCGTGCTGAACATTTTTTTCTCCTGAATCTATCTTACATATCTATAAGTCCACAATTCGTCCATGCTTTGAATATTGCCGCCACATGTTGTCCGGTGACCCTGATATATATTGAGAAATTCTTGACAAAATCCAAACAAGAATCAGCAATATTATTGATTCTATTCTGGCGTCTTGGGTACAATGTCTTTCTCATCGCCGTAATGTTGCTTCCCTGTGTCTTTTCTATAAACATTTTCATAGTAATTGTTCGGATGAACTCTTCGCTATGGTACTTAGATTTTATGAATTTAAGTTCAGTACTAGATTTTCAGCAAGGTATCATCAATTTAAAGTTGAATTGGCTAGATCTAACCGTAAATTCTATGTTAACAGTTTCTTTTCTCGTACTTCTCGCTTGTTGAATTCTCTTCCGCCTTCCTTCTTTCCAGCCATCTTTGATCTTCAGCAATTTAAATGTAATGTCAATCGTTATCTACTGTCTTCTTAATTCCTCTTCTTTTATTGTTCTACCTTCTTTGTTATGTTTCTCTTTTTCCTTATTCATTCACTCCCAGTAACCTCTTGTGTCTTAGTAGCTTTACTAAATTGCATCGAATAATATGATTTGTTTTAAAAAGTCATTATCGGAGTTATTGTCCCCACTTTTTTGCTATTAGTCCAAGGCTGATGCATTCTTCAGCCTTCAAGTATCGCCCGAAGTTCTAATCAAAGTATTTTCATTATTATTATTTATAGAAATAAAGTGTCGTTGACGACACTGTAGTTTGAAGACATATCACCATTGAGCAAAAACGGACGATTCCGTCATTAAATAAGTAGATCACGTGATCGTAAAAGAAACGTATAAATAGGAATTAGCGTGACGTCTAAGTGATCGATATTCTCTATACTATCCACTATACTAATTCTCTATATTGATCGTTATACGAATTACTATTCGGCGATTACAATTTGGACAAGTATTATTAATGCGTGTATTATTTGAAGGCGTTACTACTACCAGTATCTGAATTTACAAAGTCTCGTCTACAACGAGATTTTCGGAAGTGATAACGAGCATTCGTTGACCTAACGAAAGTTACAATGAGTAAGAGGCTAACATCACAAAAATTATACAATATTTTATTTGAACCATTCTCAAAATCATTAAAACTCGCATGTTAATAACTATTTATTTACATTTTAAAACTTAAATATGAAATTAAATGTTTGGTATTTCACTGAAAATTGTCCGGTTTGACAGAAGCCTGATGAAGTCCAGAGAGCCCAACGGCCTAGATGTTGGCATAGCAGTACCAAAGATGACGGCATTTGTCCGAGTGTATATAATGTAGATATATATTCGCGTCAAAATTGCCTCTGAACAAGTGGAGATGACTTTGTTGCAAAATACAGTTCCACAATCTTTGTCCTCTCTTCAAGCGAAAACTGCTCGTGGTGGTCCATCTTAGTATCAGATAAAACCTGTATAAGCTATGCAAATCACCTGATAAAGAAAAAAGAAACAATGATTTTTTAAGAAAATACGAACCTTTACATTTGTCCCTCGTTTTGGGCTCCACCCTGTAAATTGTTGCTAACATTTTGAAAGAGAAAGCTGAAATTTTTCGGGCATATAATGTACAAGTAAAGCTAGCGGAATTTAAATCAATCTTTCTTGGTATACGAGCGGACTTCAACTTTCAATAATTCTCTGTTCGTATACAGGTGTATGACAGACATTTTAGCGATTTCTATTGGAATATAGACGAACTGCATTTTTCAATCAATTTCTGCTTGTATAACGGTATACGACAGATTTTTTTAATCAATTTCTACTGGCATATCGATGAACCGTAGATTTCAATAATTTTCTTTTAACTTATCAATTGAGTATATATCTCAATCGATTTCATTCAACATATCAATGATCGATATATTTCAATCAGTTTCTACTAGAATGTCGATGATTGAAATATTTCAATCAATTTCTGTTGACTTATCAATGAACGACAGATTCTGTCGAAGGTATCGTTGCTGATATAACTTCTGATACTAACTTTTTTTCTTTCTTACACAAAGACGTATCCAAATTAATACTAATGAAAACTGATCACCTCAGCCCAATTACACACCAGCGACATGCATTACTGTTTACTTCAGGTTTTACACTTTCCTAATTAAAATTCTTGTACAACAAAGAGCTTATAAGACTAAAATTTTATCATAAATTTTACTTTATCAAAATAAATGTATTGTCAATTCCTCAACTTTTATCTTTTGAATTCGGCACAAAATTGTGTGACGATCACATCAAAAGTAATGCCTCTTTTTTGGTTCCCATTGTCACTGATGAGAAACAGAACTAGAGGTTTAAACTTCCTAACAATAATCCATATTTTGATTGCCTTTTTACAGATAGCCGTCTGGCAAGATGGCGTCTAACATGAAAATGCAAACAAAGTAGAGGTGTGCCATTAAATTCTTTACTAGCTTCTAACGACAATTAGAATAAAAATCATCACAGATTGCCAACAGAATTATATATCTTTATTTTACGATTGCTCTCAATGTATGTGACCTCAATGTATGTGACCTCCAATGTATGTGACCTCCAGCGGACAAGTAGCATTCCCGCCTTGCTTGTGGAGAAATAATTAAATAAAATAAGATAAATAAATAACATAATACGGTAAAATAAATGTAAATGTGTAAAGACTGTGAATATAAGATATAACATTCAATAAATGAAGGAAATGACAAAAACTGGAAAATACAAAGACGGAAAGAGGGGAATGATTTCGAAAGGAAAAACCCTTAACAATAAACAGAATCTATACACTTTGCTCAACAATTAAATAGTAAAACGGTTCTCGTTAGAACTTTAGAAATGTCTGGTCTAGACATTTTTACCAAAATCTTTAGCTGGCAATAATGACAGTTAATTCAAGAGTGGCTTTTTTGTCCTTAGATTAAGAAATAAGTCTCACAGGGCATTGATAGCGCAAAGGGTTCGATCTCATGTGGGAGTCCAATGTTGTAATCTTGTGTAATGCAAAACTCATTTTAGTAAAAAAAAAAATCCGTAGAAGAACCGTTTTACTGATTCTCTGAAAACATTTTTATTGTTAAAAGAACAGTAATGAAAATGGATGACTATCGTAATGTACGAGAAAGGTGATGGTCAGTAGATTCTTTATTTTGCTGTTTAATAACGATAGGCTATTTTCTTCTTCTCTATGTGACGTGTTCCCTCAGGACGTAGGTGATCATGGCTCTCCACAAACTTCGCCTCTTTTGTAGCTCTTAATAAACTTTGTCTTACTGTTATTTTCCCTAAACCCTGTCTCGCCATCCATTTACTCAAGCTCACTAAGTATGTTATACGTTGATTTCCTTTGTCCTTCTTACCCTTTATCCGCCCCGTGAGTATCGTATTTTCCAAGCCTTCTTTCCTCATTATGTGCCCCAGAAAGCTCAACTGTCTCTTCCTGATGTTAAGTATAAGTTTCTTTTTTGTTTTCATTTTTTCTAAAACTTCGTCGTTGCTCACGTGTTCGGTCTTCGGTATTCTCAGCATCCTTCTGTAGAACCCCATTTCGTTTTCTTCAAATCTCTCCTTCATCTTTGAGGAGATTGTTCAGCACCCACTGCCATACAAGACGACAGTTTAGTACTGTTTTCCTTGTTTCTAGCGAAGATTTATCTATTTCTTAGTAGTCTGCTTAGCTTTTGGAATGCTTTCTTGTCTGTACAAATATGTCTTCGGATTTCAGTGTCATTCTTTCCGTCCACTGTCAAAACACTTTCCGCAGATTTAAATTTCCGCACTTGTTTGATTTTGGTATCTCCGTTTGCTCTAAAGAAAAATGAGAGAGAAATCATTACAAAGCAGCTTAACACCGACTTGTTCTCGAAGAGCGTAAAATGATCTGATTTCGAAAAGGTCATAATTATCATCAGACCGTTGTTGGAATCATACAACATCAAATAGAAATTCTATTTTCAGATATGAAATACGTGATCGTACAATTCAATAAGGAAGTAAAGGAAACCACTGCGTCATATTCAAGTCGACCTGGGTCACTAGAAATTCTCCTACGTGCGTTGAAATGGAAAATTACGAAATAAATAAATAAATAAATGAATAAAATAAATAGTTCATTTTAAGACGACAGAAATAACAGAATGTGGTCGAATTCACCCAAGAAATATAATTACTAGTCTTCATTTCACAGACTGTTATTAATCTCAGGCAAAAGTTCTAGAGATTTCTTAGATTTGTTCTTTGATTGAACCGCGTGCAGCCCACTACCAAATATTTTCGGTTACGGTTTGAGGAGCAAAACAAATGCACCAATGGTTCAAAACACCCCGAGGGCGTAGGAAATATCCAATCAAAACTGATGTATGAATTTGGAAGGTCCTTTTGATTTGAACAAAATATATCACCTTTTCATGGATGAAGAAAAACCATTTCGTTCACTCAAACAATGTTTAAAACATCGTCAATGATGGATCCATAATAATATGATTTTGATGGGCAAATCACTTCTCGAAGAAGATTTCTGTCGAATACGTCTGGGCTATATAAAGAAATAGAAACAGAAAAAGGTCCCGACAGATGAATCGGATATGCCACAAGAGATGATAACAGATTAGATAAGTTTGATATCGGACGGAGGAAAGTTTTAAAAATCTGCTTAGAGAGAGAGAGCATCAATTTCTAATATACATAATAAAAGTCTTTGTTTTCATAGTTGAATACAAAAACATTTACGCGCATGCGTATATGCATTCACAATACACACGGAACCTCCACCCCGACACATGCAGTCATTGAGAAAGCAAACTGGTGGCGGGATGGGTTGGGCGAGTTAACCTGCTTACTGCCTTGAGTTCGATCCTCACTGAGTGGTCTACACATGCAGTCACGAGCCAGACAAAGTTAAGCTAAGTAGCGAACCATTAAAACGAATGGAAGAATCTACCTCGATCAATTAAATCTTAACCTCTTCAAATCTAAGGTCAACTCTTATCTATCCTACATATTCTTATAATCTGTACTTATTTATTCCTTTAAAACAATACAAATACACAATTCAGTTCAATTTCTACATTGAGTGGCTTCTGGGCCTTAGATTGACTGAGAATCTCGGCGTACGGTAATGGTTAAAAAGTTAAAGTTTTTCAGATCATTTACTGCTTTATAGTGAGCTCAATCCTCATTGGGCGCTTCAGATATTTCGTCTTGTGTAAGGCTAAGTTAAGCTAATAAACCATTAAAAAAAAACAAAAAAAACTTCGTATCTCGCCGTAAGGTAATGGTTAACGAACTTATTTTTCAGATCATTACTTCTATATACCGAGTGATTTCCTCACCGGGTGACATACATTTATATTCTTGTACCAGACTTAGTTAAGCATAGTAAATAACCGTTTATTCCTCAATTAAATGGTGCCTCACTGTAGGGTAATGATAAGCGAACTAGTTTCAAAAATCATAGACGAACTCTATCTTGAATGACTGCTTTAAACTCGTGGCCTTTTGCCAGACTAATTTAAGCTTAGTAAACACTGTTCTGAAAAATGTATGTGGGCAGGTCTGAATTTGAATATGAATTTTTTTTTAAGTAGATGAATCAAATAAATAAACTATTTACTTTAGAACGTTTCCTTCGAAAAGAAAATCTAAATTCTTGTTTTAAGTGGACCCTCTTCACTTAACATTTCGTCATTAAACAACAAAACATTTCATCATTAAAATTATTTATAATTTTTCTTCTTATCATTTATACCTTATGTCTATTCCTCTCTATTCACCTCTTCAGATTACCTGCTTCAGTAGCACCCCACCCAGAGCCCTCGATGCTCCATTAAATTTCTATATTCTCTTCCTATCTTCGTTTTTATTTCTCTTTTATTACTTTGATTACACCAATGGTAATAATTATATAAGTGGTGATTAGGTGGGCCTCCTTGAGCCCAGAAATCGTGAGTTGCGATGTCATAAATTGAAAGAAAGTTTCCTATAAAAGGTGAACGCGCTGTACTAATCTTTGTCAAAAGAGCAAGACTTCAAGATGCGGTAAGTCCAGCGAGATAATCTTTTTGTCTTTGATTTGAAAGGGGATCTTTGTCATTTTCTTAAGCTCTGTCTTAGCCAAACATATTTGCTTACTTTTCTATTTACTTTAAAGCAAATACGCTAATTCATTTTTTCTCTTTATTATTCTCATTCTCTGGGTGTTCACACCATTATTAAATCATGGTTCTCATTGGAGATTAAGTGAGAAAAAGTCACTTCAAGACTATAGCAATTCTCTTTACTATTCCAGTTCTTTGCAGCAATGCTTTTATCTAGACGATTCTAAGCTCTTTGTTGATTTTCAGTTTCACCACCGATTTTATTTTCTCTTGACTCTTTGGAACTGTTCCTAGTTCTCTAATAACGACTAGCACAACTGTTCACCAACATATTTAGTTCCATGGCAAGGTCGAAACCAATATCTTGACTATTTTCAAACTGACACTTTAGTCTGTAATTTTCATATCGATTTTTTTTTGTCCGACATTATTTCTTATTGCAAAAACGTTATTTTTAGTGAGTCCACATATTTGAGTTGCTATCTTTGCTATATTTTGTATTTTTTAATCAGTGAAGTTAATAACAACCGGCCTAGATTGAGAAGTCTTACTAAAGAAATAATGTGCCTCCGACAGTCGTGATCTGCCAGAATAGAGAAATTCTTTATTTTATATGAACTCCCTACATTCATTGGTAGTTTAGCTAGGGTACCTCGACGTGGTGTAATGGTTACAAAACTTGTCTCGTTAGAACAATTACTACCGAGTCATGAGTTTGATCCTCACTAGGTGCTATATCCTTTCGGCCTTGTGCCACATATAAGTTTTTCTTGTCTACTGATAATGTTCTGATTCTAAAAATGTTAAAACCTTTAATACAACAATCATTTGTTTTCACATTCGCTCATCCAATCGTAGTCACACGTAATCCTTCTACGGGTATTCCCTTAGTGCTATAATTAATCCTTTAGGAAATGGGTGGGTAGAGGAAGTCAGCTCTCTCTCTCTTAAGCAGCCTCTGTTACGCATATTTCTCCCTGTGTAACTTTTAATCCTTCCAACCAAGCGAACTTGTGTCGGGGTCTGAGCCGCCCATTCAGGAATGATGTTTCCGATCCAAAAAGAAATTATGTTGCTTTGGTTCCTTGGTAACAAGCACATTTAGTAACCCTCTATCTTGAGTGGCACTTGGGACTTGTATTGGTTAAAGATAGTAAAACAAAAAAACACATGTTCTCGTTCAACACTACTAGATCTGGTCTATTGGAATCGAATATGCGATTTGATTTAACGATTCTTTCTTTCATTCTCCTGGACATTTTCATTGATTTGCATTTCCTTGTTCACAAGAACTAGATTCAGTCTTTCACGATTTGACCGTCTAAGCGGTCTGGATAGCAAAATCTGAGACTATCTGGTTGTTTTTATTTTCTAGTAAACACTGGCTTGTTCTCATACCATTTTCCGAAAGAGTTAACTCAGCATTTTTGTGTGATTTGTCTATTTTTATCTTAACATAACAGGCCCTAATGCATTAATCATTGTTTGCAACTAGGTTTCGCTTTTTAGATGTCCCCTGTTTAACCCTGCGATAACTTTTTTTTGACAAAGTTTTTATTTGTCACTTAAACTTTAATAATTCTATTTATACATGTTGAGTTTCCATACCAGTGAGGCTTTTCACTAGCAATGAAATTACAATTGCTAAATACCTAAATATTCTCCTTAGGAAACTTATACTTAACATAAGAAAGAGACAGTTGAAAGTTCTAAAGCACATAATTTGGAAAGAAGGCTTGGAAAATTTGATACCCACAGGTCAGATTGAAGCAAGGAGGACTGAAGAAAACAAAACATAACATACTAAGTGAGTTTGAGTAAATGGCAGGTGGAACAGGGTTTAGAGAAATAACAAAAATACATTTATTAACAGCTACAAAGGACAGGAAATTATGGAGAGCCATGATCGCCTACGTCCTGAGGGGAAACAGCACATAAAGAAGACTCGATTTGATATTAGTAATGCTGTCAGCTGGATGGTTTTAATTCTTCTTGAGAAAATAATTTTTTCAACCTCGTTGCAAACATTACTGGAAATTCAAAGTACTCTAATAATGATGGGTACTACCGTCATTTTAATATTTCACGATTTTCACGTTTGAATGTTTTACGCTGTTATTTTTAATGTTTGCCTAATCCACTGGTATTATTGGTAATATTATAATATGGAATTTTATTATTCCATAGAATATTGTCAATTGTTACGAATTTTTTAAGTTATCTTTCACTTCCAGTAAACTTTTGCGTCTTAGTGGCATTATCGCCTTGCAACAAAAAGTAGTTGAAATTAAGATGAAAGAAATACCCATAAAAAATAATAATCATTACGAGGGCCGAATAAAAGCCTTTCTAATCAGATTTTGTTATGTGGACGAGGCAGGGAAATTTTAGCATTCCCTCATATTATTATTATTATTATCAATATGTTATACGTTAATTATTCTTTTCTTTTTTTTCAGTCTGACACTGATATTATTTCTGGCTGTACTGCCATGCTTTGTTATTTGTCTGACGCCTATCTCGGACGAGCTTTGTCAAAAAGCTTACGAGAAGGCGAGTAGAAAAATAAGATTTGGTCGTGATTTTGGAGGCTTGAGAGCAGAACGAGGCAATCGGGGTGTTGGCCGAAGAGGTGGTTTAAGAGGAACTTCAGATGTTGCTGGAGCTGACGGTACTGTTGATGCCACTGGGACCGGAGGTGCTGCCGGTGCTGCTGCTGGTGCCGCAGGTGCAGCTGCTGGTGCTGCAGGTGCTGCAGGTGTTGGTGCTGGTGCTGGTAACGCCGCTGCCGCCGCCGCTGCAGCTGCAAGAGCTGCCGGTGCTACTGACGCAGGTAAGTCAATTTTTGTTGCATCAATCCAATCGACTTCGGCTCCGCTATTTTATGCTTCATTTTATGTTAATGTACTGACATTAAAAAAATGTTGTTACAATCAATCTATTCATTATTGAGTTCGCTTGGTGACTAGGAGAGTTTTGCATTTTGTTCCAGTATCTTTGGTTGTCGTCGACCTAGCATTTCAAATGTTGATTTTCATGGAAATTAAGCCAATTACATGCATGCATATATATATATATATATATATATATATATATATTCGAACTTGACTCTCCGATTCCTCATTGCGTGCCACTATCTATACACCACCTGAATATTCAGAGTTCAAATTCCAAGTGAGTTCCTTAAATTCACTTCCGGACAAATGCATTTGGGGAAAGTATGAATCCATTTCTTCGTATCCCATTTGTACTAGATTAAATAGTAGGGTAGACTGGTCTCTTTAGCCTTGTTGTCACACAGTCTAGGAGAAGAGCAATTCTGAATTCAAAACCTGAGGAGAACTTTCAAAAGAACTTGTGGCGCACTATGTTCACTAGTTCTATGTATTCGGTCCTTCCGAAAAGACTATACAAGCCTTCATGACTATTATGAAATCCTATGGGAAGGCAGTCTGGCTGTTCGGTTCTAAGAATTGACCTTCTGGAGACTTAGACGTCGAAAACGACAAGAGAGACCATCATATCTCTCTCTCTCTCTCTCTCTCTCTCTCTCTCTCTTTATATATATATATATATATATATATATATATATATATATATATATATATATAGATAGATAGATAGATAGAGTAGATAGATAGACAGATAGAGAAGTCGATAAGGCAGCAGCTTAATGAAAATTTGTTTGCACAGTAAATATTTATTTTTCGATACCTCAGCCATCACGCTGATAGAACATTATACAGTGAAAATTTCAGATCAAAATTCAATAACTACATTTAAAACTAGAGATTTATCGATTCTACGTCTATTTTAAAATTCATTGAATAAATATATAATTTTATTGATACATATTCGTTGGTTTTGGGTTTAGTCTGGCACAAGGTCACAGAAGTGGAGCAAATGTTATGATCGAACTTAAGATCAACAACAAAAGCTCTCACAGATTGCCTGTCATTCTGGAGTTGTCGCTCTCAGGTTGTTTACTAAGCTTGGCTTTGTCTGGCACGAGGCTACAAGTCTAGCAGCTCTATGGAGATCTAGATTATTACACAGTGATAATGCTCTGAGCCAAATAATATTATTTATTCTAAATTTATCTTTCAAGTGGTTGCTGCTGCTGCCGCCGCTGCAAACGCCGCCGCCACCGCCGTCGCCGCTGGAGCTGACGCCGCCGCCATCGCTGAAGCCGCCGCTGCTGCCGCCGTTGCAGCAGCCGCCGAAGCCGATATTGAAGCCGTGACCAACGCCACCGCCGCCGCCGTGATCGCCGCCGAGGCCGTCGGCGCCGACGCCGACGTCGTTGCCCAAGTAGTTGCCGCCGCTGCCGCCGCCGCTGTTGAGGCCTCTGCAGCCGGTGCCGACGACGTCGCCATCGCTGAAGCCGCCGCCGTCGCTGCCACCGCCGCCATCGACGCTGCCATCGCCACTGCCAACGCTACCGCCGCCGCCGCCCTTATCAATGCCGAAGCCGCCGAGACATTGGCCAACGCTGACCTTATCATTGCTCAGACTGGACTTATTTTTGTTGAGACAACCAGGCTAATCCAAGACATGTAAGTAGTCTTTCTATTTATGGCAGGAAATCGTCTTTGCTATTTCGTCATACCGAAGGGGTTACCGAAAAGTTCTCAGCCCTACCAACAACCCCTTTCAAAAGACTTTTCATGTTTGGCAATTTGGTCTGATTTTGCATTGTGAGTTGGGCCGAGAATACAATAATCAATGCGAATATCATATAAAATAATCCTCAGTCGGTCTGAAGCTACGATCGCCTAATAGCAATGATTAACGTTTATAATGTTTCCTACACGAGAGATTTCAGTAAAAGTTTTATTGTATTAATAATTTCTTTTACATTTACATAAGTAGCAAAGTAATCATTCTAAGTAACGCGGTTAATCGAAATAAGTGCTGCATAATTATGTTATTGATTAAACAGCTCAACAATTGACATGTAAAATAAATTGAATCAGTAAGTATCAAATTCGATGACAATATTTTGAAAAGCGACTAATTAAACGTCGTTCTATGAAGAAAATGTATAAATCCACTTTCATATGTTTAGGTTTTATTATAATTCTAATCATAGCTTTTTAAAACAAGAAAAATTGTCGAAGTGTGAAGGTAGTTAAAATAATAGCGGCGTCACAGGAAAAACCGTCCTTTTAACACTCCGCTTTTTTTTGCGAACACAAATGTCCATGTTTGCCACGTTGTAATTGTCGATTTTTCATATCCCTTATATCGACATAAACGATTATTCTAATATCTACATCTTTGTTACTGTCAGGTCACACAAAGTAGCAAATAATTTTTGTTACTTGAACCGTTACTCCAGTATCAATTTAGTGTACGCTGTTTACACTGAATAACCCGTTTATCTCCTTTCCTTTTGTTTGCAGCAGCGTCTGTATTGTTAGGATTGCAATGACGACTTTTCATTATCTTTATTATGATATTTAAATCCAGGTTGGATCAAGGACTTATCGATGCTGAGAATCTAGTGACCGCTGTTCAACCTCCTCTGGATTTGGTGGCTGCGTGTCCATTCGCTGCTGCCCTTGCATGTGATGCTGCTTCACCCTACCGAACAGCTGATGGATCTTGCAACAATCTTCAGTTCCCTTATTTTGGTCGATCCAACACACCTTTTGAAAGGTATCTACCCGCTGTCTATGCTGATGGTAAGTACAAAACCAATAGAAAAAAATCTGGGTTTTTTTTGTGTGTGTTGTACCGTTAGTTTTACGTTAATCCGTATCAAACTGTGACGCATTCTCGATGGTCGAGTTCTTGGCGTGCGTCGAAAATATGGAAGCATTTACATGCCAGATAAGGAAAAAAAAAACATTACAGACCCTGTAGATATATAGCTAGAGCACCAGACCAGATACGGCAGCAATATTCAATGCACAGACGAATGGTAAATTTATAAATGTGCAAAATGGATTCTGACAAGAAAAACTGTCGGGCTTGATACAGGGAACCAATTTTCCTGGCAGCTGATATAATCGTTCCGTTTCATGTTAGTAGAAACACAAGAAGGTGCAATTAGTTGCTCTATTGGAGGTTAGCATCAGCCATACTTATGGAAGACAAGAAATGATCTCTATAGGGATTAAAAAAGGTTCGCATCTTAAAGAAACATTTACAAGTTTTTTTTTCTTGCCCCAGTTGTCAACTGATTGGAGGCCATTTTTTGTGAGTAGGTGTCAATTTTAATTTGTCGGATCAATCGAACTTACAAATAAGACAGGAGTAAATAGCTGAGATGTCAGGATAAATACCTAGTTGGGAATTGTTGGCATCTCGAAGGTCGTTGATGAAAATGAGAAACAAAGCAGATGCAAGGATAAAGCCCCGAGTCCTCCTCCACATTATATGGAAAGGGAATGACACAATTTGCAGATATATCTTAATATAGTCGCCGAGATACGTCCTCGACAATAAAGGTTCTCTAAAAATTTTCATAATTTAACTGCTATGGGTAAAATGTGTTTTTTTGGGGGCAAAATATTAAAGTAAGAATTGTATCTTCCTTTACTTAGCATTATGTTTTATTCAAATCCTGATTACTTCACTTACTCTTGGCCTGTCTGTGGCACGAGCGGTCCCGTGCCCTTGTCTAACACGCGGATCCCACATTCTCGTCTGTGCTTGAAAGAGTCTACCCTCTCTTTTCTGTAATGGTTCTCTATCTGTCAAAATATTTGCTGTCACCGATGCAGCTTTGCACGCATGTGTTCATCTCCCGAGGTCACCACTTACAACCGCTGGGGGTCATCTCATATTAAGTCAGCAGCTTGAATATTGGGGAAATCTTATTAGAAAAACTTATGCGCTCCCCAGCAGGACCCGAACCTGCGTTCGGGCTTTGTTTGGCTAGGAGGTTCTTCGTGGCCGTGAGGTCAAAGCACGTTAAATCTAATCACAGTTTCTACTAGGATAACGCGGGTTGGAATCCTGTTGGAGAGCGCAATTTAATTAGAGTTCTCGAATATTCATGCCGGTAGATGGCAATAAATATATTTACTGTTTAATAAGAAAAACAGAAAACAGAGCATTTACTCAAATATGGATATCCATTATAAATAACGTTTAAAAAAATTAAATTAAATAAATATATATATATATATATATATATATATATATATATATATATATTTAGCCTAAGTATAAAGGGAAAGATGCATGACAAAATAGAAAAAATATTCGTGTGACGCGTTTCATCGTTGAGGTCTTCATCGGACTAAGTTTATATTTACAATGATTCAATATATATATATATATATATATATATATATATATATATATATATATATATATATATATATATATGCAACGAGTGTAATTTTGTTGTTTAGGTATCGATCTGCCCAGGACGAGTGGTGTTCTTGGCGGTGACCTTTCCAGTGCTCGAGTGATCAGTACCACTTTCCATGGTCTCAGTACCCCCGAACACCGTCACAATGAACTCACTCACTTGACCACACTCTTTGGTGTCTTTTTCAACCATGATCTTCAAGATTATACATCTATGCCTACATCTGGAGGTAAGTACAGATTTATTTGTTTCTTATTACTAGCAGAATACGAACAGAAAAACAATCTTATCGAAGCTCTCTTGTCTAATCATCACCGAAATATAACAATTTAAAATCGATATCTTTATAATCAATGTAATTTTTATCTTTATAATATCTCTTAATCTTAATCTATTAATATTTATAATATCTTTATAATATTTATCTTTATAATCAATATAATATTTATCTACGAAGTCAATAAATGAAATTTACAAAAATAAATAGAAAGAAATTTAAATATTCAAAAATAAATACTAATTTCAATGCAATATTTTCTTTTGTTAAAACATTATTGTTTAAATAATTCTATAAATATTTTCTTCTTTAGGTGATTTGGTAGAACCTATTGATTGCTGTAACTCAGACAACACGTAAGTCGAGAATTTTATTAGGAAGGAGTTTTGTTGGGCGCCATTTTTTAAAATCTTATTTTGGTGAATGTCAAATTTGATGGTTGATGATCAATGGACTTGTTTAATCATTTCGACTTTTGGTGGTTGACTAGAAAAAGAAAGAGTATAATCTGTGATCGAGTAAAAGCTCTTTACTATATTAGACAGCACACAGAAAACATTTATTTGCCTAACGAAAAACAACTTTTTCTTTGGCATTCAACTCTAAGAACCTTTCTTAAATCTGATAATAGCAAGCAAATGAATTCTTCACACTATTATTACGATATCTTCACCAGACATCCCAAAACGTTTTGTTGACGACGTAGGCATTTACTAATCTTTGCAGACAATATTAGGGTTGCTAACGAATCCCTGATGCATCTACCTACTCTAGTACATTTGTGTTTCTTCAACCGCAGAATTAATTTTGTACCTATTCTAAGGGGGTCTTAATTACAGTTTCTGGGAAAGATCAAGTTGGAAAATATTTGACATATTTCGCTATTTATTCGGTTTCATCAGAATTTTTGGCGAGTAGGGAAGTGTGTGTGTGTTTCGTTTTTGCTTTAGTTCTATGTTGTTCGTTTTCATTGATCAGATAGATGTCACGTGTTACTGATAGATGTCACGTGTTACTCATATCACAAAACTCCTTCAATAGGAGTAGATAGGTTCGCCTATTGTTTATACGTCTAACATCTTCCTCATAACTCTGATTTTTTTTTTTACTATTTATGTATTTTTTACTTATTTTTCTCTACAATAGGAGTATATTAGTTCCCCTATCATCCGGCTCACACCCTCCCCAACCTTTAAACAGAAGTAGAGTCTTATGCCTTGCTTCCTGTTTACGAATGGATTTCCGGTTCCTTCTAAAGTCCTCTTCCACTCAATACTTCTAACGTCTCCGACTGAACCCTGAAAAAGTTATTCACTAATTAAATCTTGACCTTTTCAAATCTAGAGTTAGGCGTTATCTTTCCTGCAATGCCCCAAGAACTTCATTTCTTGCCCATTCTTGCGCTCATGCGCTCATACAATACCATACAGTAACACTCTACCCCGAGTGTCTCTTGGGCCTTGTATTAAGTGAGTGGCATAAACAAGACAACTGTGTTTAAGCCCTCGGTTACGAGAACTTGCGACTTGGTGCTAGCCGCTTTATCTACTCAATTTAAATTACAAAGTTTTGGTACGGCTTTCAAGTCTAAGTCTGAATCGATAATATTGGAAATTCTTCCGTATAATTCGTTAAACAGATTTCAGTTCATAACAAAGTTATACGAATGTTAGTTTATTTAGATTAAAGTTGGTAATTTTCAGCACGTTAGATAATTTGAAACCGTAAAAGATGACAGTGACTATGACATTTGTAGACCAGTCTATGATATTAGCTTGCAACACTCATATTATTATAGCTACCCACTATGTTAACTTGCAATTTTATGTATGTTACTATAAAAATTGTGTCAGTCACTCTTTTTTATTTTTTTTTTTTTCCTTTTCAGCGCCGTCTGTTACCCAATTGCTATTCCAGCCGATGACCCATACTTTGGCCAATACGGAAGAACGTGTATGTCATTTGTCCGAAGCCTTTCGTCTCCGGCCCTTACATGCACTTTAGGTTAGTTATTCCATCCACTTTTCCTTTTTCAAAATTAACAAATACAATTTTGCCGCTTCGGAGGACTTTTATATCGGTGCAAATCAACTTCGCTAAGCGAGGGTATTATACATTGATAATCTTGTAACCAATCCGAATAAATGAGTCAGTACACTTTACTTTAGGACGACTGCACTCACATCTACATACAGAGCATGTGATATCGGAAAGTTCAAGGAATACGACCATATAAAAATATCTTTATATTAATATCTACTTTAGGTAATCCTTCACTTAAGCGGCGTAAAATCAACTGCTATTTCCTGAACCGTGTAAATTTAATAAGACTATGCTTTATACGTTTATTATAATTAAACCTTGTTACAACGAGTAATGGTGGGCTATGCAGCGAATAAATGCTGAACACACAGGGTTGTTCTTTTACCGTTGATGCCACCCGAATTCCTGAAGATGCGACGTAAACAATTCCTCAGTTGTTCCAAAATGTCGACGCAGTTCATGCTTGACACGCATCCAAAGATTTTCCACGTTTTGAATATGGATTGTGTCATCATCAGGATCCACAGGTTAATAACAACGTCATGAGATTATATCCTATGGTTGATATTTGTTTGATTAAATTAAATCAAAACATATAAAGATATAAAATGACAGTTTCTTTTACGTCGTTTAAATGAAACAGAACTTTGATATTATATATTTTATATACCACTTATGCTTAATATACATAAATTTTATATTCCCTAAATACACTATATACATATACATACATATATATATATATATATATATATATATATATATATATATATATATATATATATATGTTTCTTGAAAATTATAGCATAAATATGTTATAAAAATCATTACAAAAATGTTTGTGTGTGTGTGTGTGTGTGTGTGTGATTTGTGTGTGTGTCTCGCTAGGCAGAAATGCAATTACATAAAATGGAAGACCAAAAAATACGTTAGAGAAAAAATCTGAGTTCATTAGTAATTATTTAGTTTTAATTTATTCTTTTAAAAACAGTATAAAATTAAAAATTAAAAATTACCAATTTTAAATTTTATTTTCTTAATTTTATCCTAATTTACAAAAATTATATAAAAAAAAATCCAGATAATGATTCCTACTATATATATGAAATGCGATCAGAAAAGTTCTAATATTTTTGGTTTGATGTGGTTTCAAAGTCTGTCATGTTCGATCAAAACCTCAAGTATAATTATTCGTGCCTTAAATTGAGTTAAAGTATCTAAGCTGCCTGTTTCATGATCATTGTAAAAAATCTTTAAGGAATAATTGGTCCCAATCTTGAAATTTAAACAGACAAATCTTTAACGATTTTATGCATGTTCATTCATAAAAATTAATTTTTACTACGGAAAGACTATGAAAATCTTTTATGGGACTGAATATATATATATATATAAAATTAGATAACTAGAGAGAGATTGATTTTGTATTCATAAAATGTGTCACTTAGCTGTTTCATCGAAGAACTTTTTTTGTAATCGCTTGGTCCACTCGTCAGGAGGTGTCAGCTGTTATCTGTCGATTTTCTCATTTTCGTTATTTTTACATTAATTTAAAAAATAATTTATGCTCTTTTTATTGGTTTTAGATTGAGTTTTTTTCTTTTGCATGTGTGTGTGTACGTATGTGTCTGCACGCTTTTGTATGTGTGTATACCTGTAGTTGTGTGTATGTTCGCATATGTAGAATGTCTTGGTTATTCATTTTCAAAAAGTTCAAAGAAACTTCAGATTTGAAATGCCGTCTTCGATATAAGATAAATCTAAATAATTTGAATGCGCCATTTTTCTTTTTACAGGACCCCGTGAGCAACTGAACACAGCTACTGGCTACGTCGATGCCTCTCAAGTGTATGGTTCTGACATTGATAGACAACTTCTTTTGAGAGCAATGACAGGAGGTAAGGAAATCATAAATGATCACTAATTCTTGCAAACAATTTCTCTCAACACGCAATAACAATTTCCATGAATGCTAAGGCAGGTCACCCCAGTTGTGAACTTTCCACCATTATCAGCGGTCGGTGTTCGAACCCGCGTAAAGAAGTAGAATTTCGAACATCGGTTCTAAGTGCCGACTCACTCTCTTCTATATAAGATTGGTGAAGGGTTACCTTGGCGTGGTGTAATGGTTAGAAAGCTTGCCTCGCTAAAACAGTTCGATCCTCATTGGGTACCCCATACGTTCGGCCTTGTGCCACATTTAAGCTACGCTTAGAAAATCAATATAAGATTGGCGAAGTGATCTCTACCCAGTTTAACAACGCTAATATCAGAAGCATGAAATAGTAAAATGAGTACAAACACATGTATATATTTTGTTCAGTTGTTTTGCGCCATTTTATCATATCTTTTTCTATGTACTATGTCCATTCAGAACGTTGGAGGTCATGGCTCTCCACAACTCCCTATCCTTTATAGTTCTGAGTAATCTTTATCTTTTTGTGATCTCTCCTAATCCCTGTTCTTCCAACCATTTACACAACCTCACTAAGTAGGTTATTCGCTTCTTTCCTCTTGCCTTCAATATGTCTTGTGAGTGTTGAATTTTCTAAACTCTCTATCCACATTATGTGTCCTAGGAATGTCAACCGATTATCTTTTTCTGATGTTAAATATGTGTCTTTTTTTTTTTTATTTTCCTGAAAATTTCACAGTTGTCTCTCCTTAATAGTACTTTTCCATTTTCAATAACACTCAGTAACCACTTGCGTCTTAGTGGTTTTATTGCCTTGCTTGGAGTGAAATGAGTAAATTATATATATATATATATATATATATATATATATATATATATATATATATATATATATACTGGTCCTTGTCAAGATTGACGATAGCAGTAACACTTTTATACAGTTATTGCGATATATTATAATTATACCGAGGGAGCATCCTCTTGGGAGTCGTTTCCGCAAAGCAGGGTTTCGTGGGGAGAACTCACCAATGGAATACGAAAGGAATGAGGGTGGTGGTTGCTCCCAATGTGCATGACATGGTGTCCCTTAGCCGTGAAGGTTAGAATTGCTGGAACTAAGGCAGCTGGCGCATGTTGTTAAAATTCTTGAAACATTTTGCCCGCCCCAAAGTTTAAAAGAAGTTTTTCTGTGTGAGAGAGTTTGTGTGCAAGAGAGGGAGAAAGAGAAAGAAACACAAACACACACAGAGAGAGAGAGAGAGAGAAAGAGAGAGAGAGAGAAGGGTGGTGGGGAGTTACAATTATTTCTTTTTTCCTTTTGGTTGAAAGAATCAGAAGAGTCAAGAACCATTTTGTCAACAATATCAATCAAAACTAAATTAAATGTGCCAATTCCCAAACTTTCAGGTCGTATGAGAACCACTCCGACAGATGATCTGGACTTGATGCCCCAAGACAACACAACCTTCTGCAGAGCCTCCGAAGGAAATCTATGTTTCGTTGGTGGTGAGTATCATTTTATTAATGCTATATCCTTACAGTTTATAAGCGATTATGACTCCCCACATCTTCCTTTTCTCTATTATATGTGAATTGTCACTCATTGTTGGTAAGTAGTGTCCCGTTGACTTCTCTACAGTTCGAAATTCAGTTTTCATTCTATTAGACTGGTTGCCAACCAAGGCAAGAGAGCCTACTCTATACTGCTATTTAACCCATAGCTTGAAGAATCGCATCTGTAGGAAAGTGGACATAACATATTAAGCCCGAAATTTGAACTCTCACCGATACACTTTACAATACCAGCACAATTATTTTAGCATGTTCTAAAACCACACTGTTATCGACCACATTACAAGTAAAAACTTATTTAATCCATGTCGATCTGATGAGAATAATCAATTATATTTCCGTTTTATGGAAACATTGAAATGATTCATTATAATTCCAACAATGGCCCCTGTCATTCTTTTATTGTTATCACAAATCTGGGCTTCTCCAATTAATGCTAATAATAACAGAAACCGTTTCCTAATAAGGCAACATTTGGAAACATAAGGAAACATTGACAGATCAGTCAGTACTGTGGTCGGTTGAAATTTATGAAATCTTTCTCTTAAAGCAATTTTTCAGATAAATAGGTTTCTCAAGTCCAGTAGCTGTTATCGCTCTTTCTTTCTAACCTTTTGTTTGCAGTAGTATGGAATGTCAACATCTTGATTATGTAATTGTTTTTGTCTTTGAGGTTTCTCTCCATATTTGGTCAATGTAGGTGATACGCCATGTTTAGATGTCCAGGGAAGTAGATCACCCACAAGTCCTTGTTTTTTGGAAATTTTGAAATGAATCATTCTAATTGCTTTCTTCTTTAAATATCATAGGTGACGGCCGAGTGAATGTCCAGCCAATGATGATGTCCTTACATCATTTATTTGTCCGTGAACACAACCGTCTTGCCGATATTCTTAGCGCTGCCCATCCAGACTGGACCGACGAAGTGGTTTTCCAAGAAGCACGAAGATTGGTTATTGCTGAGATGCAACATGTCACCTATAATGAATACATGCCTGTGGTTCTTGGTCCCACCTTGATGGAAACCTACAACCTGAATGTCCTCACCCAAGGCTATACCACATACATCGATAACATTAACCCGGCTATTCGTAATGGTTTTGCCTCAGCTGGAATTATCTACAGCCATTCGGGCCTTCGAAGTGTGGCCACCATTGGAGACTCACAGAATCCACTCAGCTCCCTTTTCTACAACTCTGATGTTTTTTACAATGGCGTTGATGCACCAACTCTTGTGTTCCAAGGGCTTACTAGTGATATGGCTCAGTCAGTTGACAGGTAAGGGACAAAAAAAAATCACTCCAGACGAAACACGGGGAAACTTGCTGGAATGTTTATTTTTTTTGATGTCAAAAATCAGTTGACAGATTATATGATTCTGGAAAAAAATTATATTTCTTCTGCAAATACAATGTAGATTTGTTAGTGAAGAAGTTATCATGAAATAACAAATATTGTCTCTCTTGTGTCGTAGCCAATCTTAACCTTTTCTAAGAATATATTTAAAGATTTGGGCTTGTTTATTGAATTTGATGAATAGAAGGGAATAAATGTTAGTTTTAACGGATGCACCTATTTAAATAGACGTTTTGAAAAATCTTATTAAAGATAAATATGCGCTCTCCGGCAGGATTCGAACCTTCATCTCCTTTGCCAGGAGAAATTATCGTTAGATCCGACGTGCTTTATATATAACTAGTTTGACGATTTAGGGTATCGGGTAGACATTTTCTCATGGGTGGAAGAAAAAAAAGAAAAATATCGGTAGACATTTTTATCCTTTTATATTTTTTTATTAAATCATGATGTTAATTTTGTTACTGTTGTTTAGAAAATGTATTTCATTTGTGGCGGGTAAAAAGATGACGATAATTTATCTGTTTTGGTAACATAATAAAAAAAATCTTTCTAATTAGCAAACAATAAATAGGTTACAACAGGAATAAGAGTGCTTTCTTACTATCACCTTGCAGCGTGTTGGTAAATCGGTAGACTTACAAAAATGTGTCTGACTTTAGACTAACAAGCACGTACAATTTAAACTTTAGTCTTTAAGACCAACACTGAATTTATGTACGTACAAGACTTCTAATATTAGCGCCTGTCTTTAAATACTTGATATTGGCAGAATTGGGCACGTGGTCGATTTGTCAGGAAGCTGTATTCTTCATGTTATCGGCCTGTAGGGACGATCCCAGTGTGCGGCACGTTTGCCTGAAAAGCTTTCTGCTTTGTGAGCCAAAATTGGGCAGACAGCACTATTTGACAGCCGTCTAGCTGGCACGGAGTCACAAGTCATCGTGACCGAGGGTTTGATCGTACTGGCCTTGATCAGGTTAGATAATGGGCTATCTTCCAGAAATTATAACTAAGGTCCGTTCAGGATAGTTGCATTATCTGTGGGTGTTGACTAAACACACATGTGCCTGAGCGGGCGTCTGCAATAGGGACTGGCTAACAGAGATGCATACACGGATACGAGCGTCTTAGTATTCTATTAATTTTCATCCGACATAATTATTGTTCAGGAGATCATTATTTTTTTTAAGTCGCAAAATTAAATAAGTAATAATTAACTAAGAACTGTCTTAATGTTTTTTTACCAGGTTGATGACTGACGAACTGACCAATAAACTTGTGGAAACCGTTCCAGGAAATGGTTGGGATTTGGCCGCTCTGGACGTACAAGCTGGACGTGACAATGGACTACCAACATACAACACTTGGCGCCAATGGTGTGGTTTGAGTGTAGCCGAAAATTTCACAGCACTTCCTGATCATGCTGAAGCTGAAATCGACATTTTGCAGACTCTCTACGCGTAAGAGATTTTCTAGCAAATAAACAAGTAAATAATGTCAAAACTCCAGACATTGAAAAGCTTCATTATCCCACGCCATTATTCAGACGAATATCTTCATTCTTACTGTGTTGATATCAAAGTTATCTTGATATCAGGTTCTAAATAGATATATCCAAGAAAAGGATATATACATTTTCATATACAAGGAAAATCAATGACAAAGCGAATTTTTTTTCGAGTGATGCTTTTCGTCCTTGATGACTTCATCGAACAAAAGTGATGTTTACGCATGCGTAGGGAAATGAATGTAAATGTCACTTTAGTTCTATGCAGTTCGGAAGGACGAAACACGTCACACACAACAAAAATATTTTTCCACTTTGTCATTGACTTTCAAAACCGATATATCATGTTTTGTAGAATTACTTACGAATTTTCCCAATACATTTATTGGATCATATATAATTAATATATAGAAATATCACATTAAAGTATATAGATATATTCATGATATTTTATACTGCAAATATTCTTTCTCAGTTTCAGTTCTATCTATCTATCTATCTATCTATCTATCTATCTATCTATCTATCACATTCTCTTCATTATCCATTATAACTATTTATTTCGAGTTTAGCTTAAGCTGAATCTGAGATTTTTTCTTGAACATATCCCTGAGTAAAAAAAGTAGAATTTTACAAACTAAAAAAGAAAAAAATATATCTGTAAATATCATAATCTGACGCAGAAAAATATTCAATCGATTCAATACACACGTACAACCACATAATAATTGGTACTTATCGACATATAGCTATCATTTGTTATTTTGAATCTAAATATTTTCTGCAAGTAATCCACTCTGGTTCCTTTTGTCTTTCAGGAGCGTAGAAGACATTGATGTTTGGACTGGTGGCGTGTCTGAAATTCCAGTTGAAGGTGGAAGTGTTGGTCCCTTGTTAGCATGCATTGCTGGACGCCAATTCCAGGCTTTGAAAATGGGTGACCGATTCTGGTACGAGAACGCCGGAGAAAACCAATTATCTATTGGTAAGTTAAGCCAAGATAAGACCTATTGTAATGGCGTTGGTAAAATTAGCCGTTTCCTTATAAGGAAACATTTGACATTCATTGACCGAACAGTTAATGTTCCTGTCCGTTGATATTTATAAAATATTTCTCTTAAAACCGTTTCTCAGGAAAATGGGATTTAAACGGCTACTAAATGTTATCGCTCTTTCTAGTACTGATGTGAATTTCTTTCATTAAAAAAAAAAAAAAAAACTTTGTTTAAGGTAGCGTGGAAAGTTAACATTTTGATTATATAATTATTTTCCCTTCTAATTACGTGGGCTACCAATTTTAGTTTTCAAATGCTGTAGTTTTCGCTATTTGGTAAAACTATTTGTTATTCTGTAGCGCCAGCCTGTTTGGTTTGATGAATGTTTATCTTCTTTAAGACCGTAAGGATTCATTCGTTTGAAGCCAACCATTGATCTGAGAAAACAGTTGTATGTAGATGACGGCTTAAACATTTCTGAACGGGTTGGATGCTATGTATGACATCCACATGAGAGTCTAGATTTGACGAGTTTATTTAAGATCATAACTCGAGTTCTCAAGTTAATATTTTGCTTCTATAACATCAAACAAAAGTATCACTAACGTAACCTGTTCAATTTCCTTATTTCCTATACGAAATTTGTTATACCTGATGCATGCGCCGAGGTAATTTGATATGTTAGTATGTATAATATGTTCATAAGTCACCTACTTGCTACTAATTGAACTTCCCCCCTCCTTTCACTGAATCCTTCTTTATTCTCTTTGGAAAGGGTTCCATAATATACCATTTAGGAACGACTAATACATTTGTACGCTATTGTTGACCCAATAAAATGCCCAAGAGCTGCTCAAGGAAGACGGTTACTGAATTGGATTTTTTATGGGCAAAAGACTTGGAGATTGTAACGATATATAGGCTAGATGACGGTTTTCACGAAAAGTGGTTAAGTGTGTAGTAACCGAGGAAGCATCCACTCGGGATTTGATTCCAGAAACTCGTGGTTCTTGGGAAGAAGCTGTCGGGGTGGAACTTCCTCCTTACAAATGGAATACGAAAGGGATGAAGATCGATCGCCTCTGTATACATGGTATGTTTGGTTTTAGATGTAAAGGTCTGAAATGGGTGAGATATGGAATGTAGTTCCCCAAAATGTTTTTGCACGGAAACAACGATAGAAAAGTGATAAGTTTGCCGCGTTACAATTGCAAGGAAATGGTTTGAAAAGTGGGAAACAATTCATCGCCTACAGGGCGGCGCTTTCAAATTCTGTCAGGGTTGGAAAAATAAAATTGAACAGCTATCAGAAATATCCTCTTATTTACATTTCAGATTGCCTGAACGCCATCCGAAATGTGTCTATGTCTCGTCTCATCTGTGACAACACTAACATCCAACAAATCCAAGGAAATGCCTTTATTGCTGCTTCTGATGCGTAAGCTTTTCATTTTATTCAATTGGAAATGCAATTCTTTTCTTCGTACACGATATAATTAAATAAAAGATTATTCGGATATATAGATATATGTAGGTATATCAGTCAGACCATAGTCTCATGTTGTTATATTACATAACTCGTATTTAATTTTAAACATAAGATGTCGATATTAATCACATATAGCGAAAATTTAGACTAAAATTTTGTTGAGATCTTTGGTCAAGATACAGACTTGTTGATCCAACTTCTGATTTAAAAAAACAAACATTATTTTTTCAGTAACCCAATTGTCGACTGCTCTTCCCTGAGCGCCGCTGAACAATGTTCCTTGGTAAGATCGTTCGGTGTTTGGGGTGCCTGGAGCGACTGCATCAACAACCAGAGAGTTAGAACTCGCCAATGTTTAGCCCCTACAACTGGAGAATGTTCCTGTGATGGTGTACCCGCCGAAACCCAAATTGGAGAATGCAATATTTTCGGAGCTGCAAACTAATCGATTTTAAACAACGAATTCTTTGTCCATTAGCTCTTTGACACACTTTTGTTTAAATAAAATGAAGTTTTTGAAATAAATGCATATTTTTCTTTTGTTTATTATAATATTTGGTACCTTACTAATTTTAGGTACCGTGTCTAGTACTTAGTTACTTATAAAAGTGAGTTTGACACTCATTTTGGGTACCTCGTTACTTTGCGTCATGTTTCGTAAAGATCTACGAAGTTCTTTTTGTTTCCAAGAGCTTAGAATTCTTCAAGGGTATTTTCTGATAATCACATGCGCGTGCAAAATGTTATTGACTACTTTAGGTTTGACACAAGGCCACATTAGGCGAGTAGTGGAGATATCGGATGATAAGAAAAGTATTTTATGAAATTACTCAAATCACCGTGTAAAACAGTATTCAAAATCCTTACTTTTACCAGGGCTCGAATACCAACCACTGGAATTAGAAATGGTCGGTTGAGTCAAAAATAATTTTTTCTTTTGGTCATCAATTTTATTCTTCCAGACTTAAAAAAAATAATTCTATTCTATTTTCAATTTTATATTCGCCGTTTAAATTAAATGATTTGCTGCCACTGATCAAGCAGTTCGTCGATAACTTGACTAAATTTCTGTAGGTTTTGATGTGAAAAACCTTTCAACAAACACTTGAATCTGGTTTCCATTAGATAAAGTTCCCACCCACCTCATTGCGTTTCGATCAAAAACGGTAATAATCGTTTAGTTCAAAGGTCAGGTGAATATGACAGGTGGAGCAGAACAAACCAATCAATTTTTTTACTTGTGTTATTCTTTCTGTATACAGCCTTATTTTGTTATGGAGTAGAACGAGATTTTTCTTATTGATTGGTACAGGGTGCTTTGTATCTAAACCTTTATGGATACATTTCAGCTGCTGGATATATAAATGTGCATTTAGTGCTTCCTACGTTTTAAAAACTCTAAATGAACAATACTCTAACGAACACACTACATGCTAACATTACCTTTCTTAGATGGAGATTCAATCCACGGACTTTTATGTTGAATATTGTTGTATGTAACCTACTTTTCATCGCCTGTTTTATTTAAGAAACAGTTAATTAACATTATACATTCACTATTTTTGTTTTAGGGGCAAAACCATTTCTTTCACTTTCCTTTCCACACGTTTCTTGCTTTCCTTCGTTCTTCTACTTTCACTGGGCTTTGTTTGTCCGCCCGTCCGTGAAGTTGCTTGATACTTGTTGATCAAGCCAGTATTTACCCGACCTCCCCACAAGTCAGGATATGGCATAAGGCCAATTTTTATGTGGAGCGCTCCGAGCCTGTAATACCCATTGACCCCGTATACACGGGCTCGGGTTTGTCTACCTTCCCAGATGAGAGATTGCTCTTCGGCATAGCCTCGTCTGGGTTCCTCTCTGCCCGAAAGCAGAGAGTTTGACAATGCCTGATCAAACCTTCAGGATTAGGGGATGATCATGGCTCTCTAAAACTTCCTCTCCCTTGTGACACTTGGCATTTTTCTCCTTTTGCTAATGCTCTCATCTCTCGTTCTGCCATCCATTTACACAAACTGCCATCCGCGATCTCTCATCTGCCATGTGAGGCTTTATTTTTTCAAACCCTCCTTCTGTGTCTAGGGAGTTTCGATGTTCTTTTTGTTGCCACTTTCTTTCAGACTTTCTCCGTTTTTTGCTCGCACCGTCCATGAAATTCTCAGTATCCTTCTGTAGAACCACCCTTCTGTTACCTCCAGTTTTCTCTTCGTCCGTGGGGAGATTACCCAGCATTCACTTCCATATAAGAGGATAGATATTACATAGCAATCCAGCGCTCAATTCTGTTTCTGTTTCTCAGTACTTTGCTTAGGTTTTGGAATGCCTCTTTTGCTTGTCCAATGCGTACTTCGGATTTCGGTGTCATATTTTCCATCCTCTGTTAAAAATACGTCGCAAACACTCAAACTTCTGTACTTGTTTTAAGATGACATCCCCAATTTGAAAAAAAAAAAAAAAAAAGAATCATAGGCATTTCCTATTGCTGATGACCAGAATTGCTGTATTCTTGGAGTTGATGGCTTACTTTTACTCATTTTAGATCTATCTATCTATCTATCTATCTATCTATCTATCTATCTATCTATCTATCTGAGCCAGTTCATATCTCTCTCATTCTGTTCATACCTATCTATGTATGTATGTCAGTCTATTCCCGTCTATTATAATCCTCGTATAAGCTGGTAGTTTCTGATAATATTGTAAGGAAGAACTCTAGAACAAAAGATTAGTGAAGAAATGGTTTAATCACATGAAGGACATGGATTATAGAAATGGAGAATACAGTTCAGTGTAGCAATGCGTGCGACTCAGCGCTACTCCTTACGATCCACTTTGCGACAACTGTTCCTATGAGCAGACGTTCTACTCCTGGTGAATGGACGAATTTATGTTCAACAATTAGTGTAGAGATGGTCGGTCTTCTTTCTACACAATACCTCTCTTTTTAAGATACGCATTCTCTTTTGAATAGATATTTTCTTTTCTTGGGGTTCACTTCCAAAATTTCCTTTGAATTTCTTTTACTTTTACTAACACAGTGTTTTCGTGTATTTATAATTGGGGCTGGCAAGTCAAAAGCATCGTACAGCATTTCAATAGGAAAATCTCTTTATTTCCTTGACATATGTTGGTTTTTATACTTTCTATGGCGCCAATTTCGACCTTGTACCGTATTCATCACCGTGCTAAAACGATTTACTTATTTCACCATCTACCGAACTTTTCTTCCCCGCCTTTTATATCCTTAAGAAAATGTTATCTCTTTGATAGATTTTATAGTTAATTTCGTACTCTACCAACTTTTTTATTTTTCTCCCCGATAGTAATTTGTCAAACACCGATTTAATTTTCCTGGAAATATTAGTTTCGCTGGTGACATCTTCGATGCAGTATTAAGGTTAGGAGTAGGTCTATAAATTCTTAAAAACCTGTTAAAGTATTACTTCTTCCGTCTCCTCCCCCTTTGTTTCTTTTAACGCCATTTTTGAACGTATCAACAAAACTTTCAGCTTGACGATTTTATCTTGGGTAGTATGGCGGCGTTGTTATATGTTCAACTGTATAGTATTTGCAAAATTTTGAAAGTCACTCGAAGTAAATTGCGTACCATTATCAGACACTAAATTATCTAGAACACCAAATCTCGAAAAGAGTTGATGAAGAAAATTTACAGTTAGAAGTAGGTCTTCTACACTTAAAAAATTCAGGCTATTTTGAAAAACTGTCGACAGCAATCAAGTCATACGAATTATTCAAAGTTCCCGCGTAATCGACATGTAACGTAAACCAAGGTTTATCAGTATTAAGCCAGGGTTGATAATTTACAGGTGGTAAATTTGCCACCTATTTCTGCATGACTTAACCAACTTTAGAATATTCTGGTCTTTTTTAAGCTAATATACGTAACTTCTCATGAAGGATTTCATACTTGACATTCCAGAATATCCAAAATTTTTTCAGTCGCTATTAACGTTCTACATGCATTTGTAACTGCTTTTATTTTACTATCCTTTGATTTATAACAAATAACTGCTCCAGTTCCATAATCTTTAGAATCTGATGCTGCTATTACTTCAGAATCAGAATTGAAATTCATGAATGATAATTCAGATGTTAACATGCTCTTTGTCTTTAAAGATTTTTGGCATTCGTCGGACCATGTTTGGCACATAAAGATTTTAATTACTTTCGAGCTTTAGAAATGATTGTAAACTAGCAACATTTATCGGAACAGGCATATTTTCCATAGCACTCGTTCTTGATGGGTCTGGTCTACGCCCATTTGAATCAATTATTTGTCCCACATATTTTAGATTACCCCTGAAAAAATGACATTTCTCCTCACTGTGTTTGAACCCGTAATCCCCTATGTCCTGGAATGTATGTATTCTGACTGTTTCCGTATAGTTTCACTTTTTATGAGTACGTCCTTCAAATATGAAATTGCAAATTCTAAGCCAGCTACCATCGTATCTAATACTTCCTGGAAAATGCTAGGTGCCGCTTTGACTCCGAACGGGAGTCTAAAAAAAACTGTATAGACTCTCGTGTGTGTTAATTGTTAAAATCTGGTGCTATTACACTTTCGCACCCCACGCCTTGTAATATTTCGCCGCGGAGTAATTTTTTCTCAAGAAATAATTTTTTCCCATTGGCTATTCTTTTTGCACTGTTTACATTCATCACGTCACTTACTTTACAGTTCGTTTCAAACCAAATATTATGGCTGAAGTTCGAACTGTTCCTAATCAACAGGTTTTTGGAGACATCACCATTTTGAAGATTGGGGCACAGTTTTACAATAATATTGATAATTGCATTGACTGGTGCCGTAACTATGGTTTGCTAGCAGTCAATATGGACTGAATTGCTTGCAAGAGCCGTTGTAAGGAACAAATCTATTTGCGACGGTGGACAACAGGATCTGGAGGTGCGCACGTAAATCTTGGGAAAGGCGCGAAAGTGTAATAGGGCCGTGTTTGGGTTTAATGTTATCTATTTGTTGAAAACTAAGTTTCTTCATTGAATTGGTCTTCAAATTGAAAAGCTGATTTTCGGCGTGGCCGGTAATAAAATCATAGGGAAAAAAAATCACACCTTGGTTTTGCACGTGTTTCGTATACATGAACCTATTGTAGCAGATTTTTTAAAAACCACGCATGTTATTGTCAGTTTCCCTGGCTGGAGGTATAAGAATTATCTTTCACTACATCCAAGTTTTATTGATCCATAACAGCACTGAGATCAGATTTTCACTATTTAAACTGTCTTCAGGGTTAGGATAAAAAAAATCAGTCTATTAAAGAAACGCTGAGCATAATCTGTTTGGGGCGTTATTTTACACTTTCGACACCCCCTCCCCGCCTTGTAATATTTCACAGCTATGTAATTTTTTCCCATTGGCTATTCTTTTTGCACTGCTTACATTCATCACTTTACGTACTTTACAGTTCGTTTCAAACAAACTATTGTGGCTGGTGTTCAACGCGTCCCTAATCAACAGGTTTTTGAAGACATCACCATTTTGAAGATTGGGGCACAGTTTTACAATAATATTGATAATTGCATTGACTGGTGCCGTAACTATGATTTGCTAGCCGTTGTAAAGAACAAATCTATTCGCGACGGTGGACAACAGGATTTGGAAGGTTGCCCCAAATCCGACAGTCTGGACTGACAGGTGGGCCTCATACATTGGGTTCAACCATGACACTGTCAAACACAATCAGAACTTTTTGAGGATCCCAACACTGGAGTCACCACGAATAGAGTTGAAGCAATGTGGCAGCGTGTCCAGGCTAAATTTAAGGCTATGAATGACCCCATCAACAGGGGGATGATTTCTGAATACCTGGCGGAATTTATGTGGGCTCAAAGCTCTGACCGGGTGTGGTAGCACCTGTTAGGGTCCCAGCTAGAGGCAAATAGTTAAACCCCAAACTGGGGTAAAAATACTATGAAAGTGTAAAAATAGGTTTCAATACCAGAAATACATTGTAAAAAAATTATTTGAAAAAAATTTTTAAAGGAAAATGATATTACCAGCAATACAAGCAGCTATACATTTTTTGGAAGAAACATTACCAGCTATATATTTTTTTTGTAAGAAACATTATCCAGCTATATATTTTTGGGAGAAACGTTACCAGCTATACATTTTTTGGGAAGAAACTTTATCAGCTATATATTTTTGGGAAAAAAATATTACCAGCTATACATTTTTTTTTTAAATGTTACCAGAAATAGATTTTTGAAGAAAAAATATTACCAACAATATATTTTTGGAAAGAAAATAATGTCAGAAATAAAAAAAATTATCGTCATTAAATAACCCATTGAGGCTGATATGACGTAAACCAAACCAAACCAAACCAAACCAAACCTACAGAAGGTTTAAAGATCAATTGCAAAAGGATAGAATGAATGGTTGGCAGCAAAAGAAACATCGCAGCATGCAAATTACAAATCGGGGATGCCAAAATTAAGCAATTAAAGCAATTTAAATATCTGGGAAGTGTTTTAACAGTGGACGGAAAGTCCGAAACAGAAATCCGAAGGCGTACTGGGATAGCAAAAGATGCTTTTCAAAAGCTAAGCTAAAAAGTTTTCAAGGATATGGAAACAAACTGGACACTTACACTGTTTTTTTTTTAAGCATTTCACCCCAAGCAAGTCGGGAGTGCCACTAATACGTAGGGGGTTACAGAGAGTGAAAGTAAGAAGAAAGGCTGGGTATAGTGAGGGGGTTGTGGAAAGGATAAAAGAAGAACGAGGATCAAGGTATCAGAAGATGACGATTGACGTTGCATTTAAATTTTTGAAGATTGCAGTTATCAGGGAAGCAAGTAACATGAAGGGAATTCCACTGTCGGGAAGTGCGAGAGAAGGAGCTATTGGAGTAGAAGTGGCGGTTACACTTAAATGTAAATTTACCAGTAAATTAACAGTAAATGAGTGTTACTTAGATGCCAATCTAGTAGCATGCTTAAATTCGTGTAGTCGGAGCATCAAGAAAAATAGTTCGTCAATACAGTTGCCGTGAAAATATTTGTAGAAACGACAGAGGGAAGCCGTATCACGTCTATGATAAAGTGACTAGAGGCGAGATGCCAAGTCAGGGCAAACTACGTTGCAGGTCCTTCTCTGGATTTTGTCGAGGACCTCGAGGCACCAGACCATATGTGGCAACAGTATTCAATGCATAGACGAATGGTAGATTTGTAGATTGGAAGGATGAACTCAGACGAGAAAAACCTTCTGTCATGACACAGAGAACCAACTTTCCTTGCGGTAGATACAGCTATTGATTCAATGTAGTTGTTCCACCTCAGGTCAGTGGAAAACGTACATAATGAGGAAAGAGGACTTGGAAAATTTGACATTCACACGGCATATTAAAGGCAAGATGGACAGGAGAAAACAACGCATTAATTACATAACGAGTTTGCGTAAATGGATGGCAGAAGAGGGTTTGGAGAGATAGCAAAAAGACAAGTTTTACTAAGAGCTACAAATGGCAGGAAATTGAGGAGAGCTATAATTGCCAACTTCTTGAAGGGACACATCATGTAGATGAAGAAGATGTATGTTTTAGTATGTATCTACCCCCAAGACATTTCAAATTTATCTGCAATAGTTTATTCAGTTCGATCAATATTAACTTATCTACCTCTTGATGCCTATCTCACTTCCCCACCATTTATTAGGTTGGTGCAAAAATAATGTCGTTTTTTGACGTTAAGTTGAACGTCAAAAAACGATATTATTTTTGCACCAACCTAATACATATATCAGCGCCTAGGGATAGATAGATAGATAGATAGATAGATAGATAGATATGAGTAGGCAGTGAGATAAATACAGGGTGCTATGGGTAAATTGTCGCCATTTTATATTTTTAATTTCGCGCATGCGCTTTGTTTGTTTTGATTTTTTCGACTGCACAGTAAAGTTCAGTTGGGCATCGTCTGTGAGGAAAAGAGCACCATGACTCGAAAAATTTGGAAACATCATGCCGTTCTGCTTGGCATTCGCGCTGGAAGCTCCAATACGAACATGTCAGAGTGTTTGGGTGTCAATCTGAGGACAGTGCAGAGGATTTGGGAAGATTTGGATGAGTCTAATAGTGATTACGAAGGTACGACAGTTCTGAAAACTGATCGTTTTGATAAGAAAAGAACTTCCAAATTTGTTGGTGAGATCTTCAGACTCAACAGGGCGCCCTACATCAAGTGTCGTGAGGGGGTAGTGCTGCCATATCCAGATGAGTTGCATATGATTCCGATATGAGTAGAAATTTAGATAGATATGAGTCGACAGTAATCTAGAGCGATATATAGTGCAGATTAAAGGTTAACTGCAGGTTTCGTTATCACCATCATCATCAGATGAAGAAGAAGAAGGCCATGGCTTATGTAGGTTAGAAGTGATGGGAAGCTTTCCCACCAAGTACGACCCAACATAAGGGCTACAGTGGAACGAATTGCAGGTAGCTTGAATAAAGTCAAGAAAAAAATGCGTCACAGCTCACATTAAACCGATTTTGTGTATACTGCTATATCGCTGTAGGCTAATCAGAACCGGGAGAAACAGGCAAAATGCTGTTTGTTTGTCCGTCTAAAGCAGAACACGCAACTCTCTAGATAATTTAATCACAGAAAGTGTTAAAACATTTTCAAAGCTTTATGAGTTCGGCTTCTTAACTAAGGAAAGAACTAAAATTGCAATCTGCGCATAAACGCTATTTTTTATTTTGCCTTTACAGTCTTCTTATGCCCATCACCACAGAACGCCCATCCATAGGAATCATATGTCAAGTGGCTTAGGCATTCAAATCAATCAGATTTTATAATGATTCACATTTTCAATTTGTCTGTTGCTCAGATAAATAGTAAATTCTCCTACGTGTTTCCATAATAATTCTGATCTGCATGGTACTTTACTTCATTCTTTACTTACCTCTTCTCCTGGCTCTTGTCGAGCCTCGCAACTCTGTCTTATTAGCAGTTCGGATCATGATATAGTATCTGTTGATATTTGTTTTGATTCAGTTAGTAATCATTAACTCCCTATTCACAAGGTTACTTTCTGTTACGAGCGTACTGATTGTAAATTATTTCATAATTTTCTTCCAGACTCCCCTTCCTTTTGAGTAAAAACGAACCTCGATGATCTTGTGCCTTCTTGTAAATACAAGATAAAACCATAATCTTTTTGATATCCTGGGTAAGACGATAAACTACGCAAGGCTCTGATCAGAAGGTTTTGAGGAGCGTGGAACCACCTCTTAATTGCTTGTTTTCCCAGATCCACCCAGACCCGGGGTGATAGCACTTGTTAGGGTCCCACCTATGGGCAATTCGTTGACCCCTAAACACTATGAATGTTTAAAAATAGGTTTTAATACCAGAAATACTTTCTTGTAAAAAATTATTACCAGCAATACATTTTTGAAAAAAAAAAATTACCAGAAATACATTTTTCGAAAAATATTACCAGCTATACATTTTCTGAGAAAAATATTAGCAGTAATAGATTTTTGAAGAAAAAAAATATTACCATCAATAAAAATTTTGTCGTCATTAAATAACCCATTGAGGCTGATATGCCATAAACCATAATCTTTTCCTTGGTTCACACCTGTCTTGTTCAGTCGTCATAATCCACAGGAATCACTTTTTTTCCGGCTCTACCAACGTGATAATCCTTATCACAATAAACGCCTCTTTGTGTCCATTCATAATAATTGTAAATTTGTCATCAAAGAGGCTGATTGGGTGAGGCACAGTAATAATAATAATTTGGGTTTTCGGGGTTACAACGCAGCTTTGTAATAGTGTGCATTAAATAAAGGTAAGTCCTCCTCCCTTCACTCAATTTAAGGTGGCACCATCTCCTGCTGATAAAGCAGAATGCTTTGCTCTTAAATTCTCTTCCAATTCCACTCTTGACTCATTTGGAGTATCTTTGCCTGACTCTTCAATTAGAATAGAGTCTCTATGTTTTATGCATATAAATCTGTCCATAGTTTGTACCCTCATCTCTATACTGGATCCTAACAAGGCAAGAGTATTTGACGGTATCCCTGCCACAGTGCTAAAGAAATATGTTCCTGAAATGACTCCTGTTCTCTCTAAACTTTACAATAAATGCCTTTACTGCTTCTTGAAAATCCTCTTCTATAGTTCCTGTTTTTAAGAACTCAGGTGAACCGTCTTATACTGCTACTTATTGACCTATTAATCTTCTGTCTCTTCTTGGCAAAATCCCAGACGCCCGAATCAACCACGAATTGCTCAATCATCTCACCTCTAATGGTTATATTTCAGATAAACAATATGGCTATCGTGTCTCTAGGCCAATTGCTGATGAGTAAGGGTTATTGCTGAAAGAACTAATCAAGTTTTAGATACGAAAAATGCTCGGGTTGTTGCTTTGGAGATCTCGAAGTTTGGCATGCTAGCCGTCTTCACAAGTTTTTGTAATCATCTTTTTTGCCTTCCATCAGTATGGCTGATGCTAACCTTCAGAAGAGTGATTCATTGCGCCATCACGGGATGACATTTTCCACTGACATGAAGTGGAACGATTATATTGAATCATCTGCTAGGAAAGTTGGTTGACTGTGTCGTCCTAGGCAATTTTCCTCGACAGAACCCATCTTATATATTTACATAAAGTCTACCATTAATCCAATGAATATTGATGTCACATCTGCTCTAGTACTTCTGCTATATATTTAGAGTTTCTTGATAAAATCCAAAGGATAACGACTAATGCATCCTGGGTAAGACGATAAACCAACAGCAAAGGCTCTGATCAGGAGATTTTGAGCACTGTGGAACCACCTCGTAATTGCTGGTGTTCCCAGGTCCACCCTGACCCGGGTGGTAGCACCTGTTAGGGTCCCACCTATGGGCAGATATTTAACACCTAAACTGGGGCGAAAACACGATGGAAGTGTAAAATTAGGTTTTAATATCAGAAATATTTTCTTGTAAAAAATTATTACCATAAATACATAATTACCAGCGATAAATTTTTGAAAAAAAATCACCAGCTATACATTTAAAAAAAAAATTAGCAGCAATAGATTTTTGAAGAAAAAATTCGATTTCACAAAAGGGTGCTGCTCACAACCTTAGATACAAAGATTCGTGCGAAGATCAGTTTGCACATGCTGCTCACATTCAACAGAATGTTATGTAGCCCATCATATATACAGGTTACGATCGATAAATTGTCGTCTAAATTTCGCAAAACTGAAATTAACACTGACATCTCGTTTTAACAAATATATTTACCAAAATTACATAAAACTATCTTGAAATACTAAACTGTAAATTTACTCAATAAAATCGCCATTACTTTCAAACACAGCCTCCATACGACTTCAGAATCTCCTGCAACTCTTCCGAAGTGTATCCTTGTTTAAGCTGGTGTGAAGGCTGCCATAATCGTTGCCTTCAGTTCATCTTTGGTGTTACAAGGAGTTTTTTGGTCACTCATTCAACTGCAACCCGCACATAATAATCAAGGTGGTTGCAGTCTGGGGAGTTATGTGGCCAGATATAAGGGGTAATGTGATCACAAAAATTGCCTGACAACCATTACTGGGTTCTCCTGCTTATGTAGTATGATGCATGTTGCCACACACAGGGCCTTCCAACCGCCACCCTCTTGACCCAGGGCAGCGCTACCTCTTCAAATCACTTAGGCTTCTGTGTTGAGTCTGATGCCCTTTGGAACGATGAATAGAGGCATAACGTTGTCATCACTAGTGATCACTCCAAACACCTTGATGTTGACTGAATATATCATCCAACTATTTCCTAAGATTCTGCACTCTCACCAGATTGACACCCAAACTCTCTGAAATGTCCGTAATGGAGCTTCCGGTGTTATTGCCAAGCAGCAGAGCATCCAGTTTCCAAATTTATCGCGTAGTGAATTGCGTCATTGTGCTCTTTTCTCAAAGACGCTACCCAACTAACTCCATTGTATTGTGCCGACGACAAATTCAAAATCAAACAACGCGCATGCGAGAAATTAAAATATAAAATGGCGCCGATACCCTGTACATATGCATATATATATATATATATATATATACATATGTTATGAAATAGACAAAGTCCTACAATTATTTCAAGACGTCTATAAAAAAAATGTATAAACATAAAAATGTCTTAAAATATACATATGTATAAAAATTTTAGATAGAGTATATCTGTAAAAGAACAATATGAATAAAGATGAAAAGAAAACTTAGCCAATGCGTTTTGCCCTCTCAAGGACTTTATCAAGGCCAATTTGCCTTGATAAAATCCCTTGCTGGACGAAAAGTGTCGGCTAAGATAGGTTTTCCTTTTGTATTTATATATGTTTAGTCATATTTGAGTATGTACTCTCTTTTTTATTTATTTATTAAATAGTATATTTATTTATTTACATCCAAAGATATGAATATTCGAGAAACCTTGTTCGAAAGCAAATATAAGTATCCATTTCAAATAATGTTTTAAAATAAATAAAAAAGATATAAGGATATGGAATAAATTTGAAATATTTTTAATTTATTTTTAAACATTATTTTTATATATATATATATATATATATATATATATATATATATATATATATATAAAGAATTTATTTTTAATCAGAGATGTTTATTACTTCAAATGTTATTATAGTGCGTTCTTCGTATTTGAAATAGACGCTCCATTTCTATTTGTTAAACATTTGAGAAATCTTTCCGTAACACACATTTTCTTTACTAAGATATCTCGTATGCGCAGGCCGAATGCACACTGTATCATTAATAAAAATGGGACGTCTATTTAAAATAAGAGGTGTCCATTATAC